GAAGTGCCTCTCTTATGCAGGAAGACTACAACTAATCAAATCTGTTATTATGCTTCACTGGCAGAAAAAGAAGTGCCTCTCTTATGCAGGAAGACTACAACTAATCAAATCTGTTATTATGGGTATACAAATCTTTTAGACCAGCAACTTCATCTTGCCTGTTAAGGTGCTGGAGAAAATTGATAGAATGTGCTCAGATTTTCTATGGAATCACAAGATTCATCTAGTATCTTGGGAAAATATATGTCGAGGGAAAGAACAGGGGGGACTGGGCTTATATTCAGCTAAATCCTGGAATCATGCAGCTGCTATAAAATTGCTTTGGATGATCTATCAGAAAAAAGACATGATTTGGATAAAATGGGTTCATGAAAACTATATGTATCAAACTGACATTTGGCATATTCAACCTAAAGCATCAGACTCATGGATATGGAGGCAACTTTTGAAAATCAGGGACATGGCGGAAAACAAATTTGGAAGTGCAAACAATCTCATAAATACCATTAACAGCTGCCACAGTGGGGGTAAATTTCTAATCTCCTCTGTCTATAAAGCTCTGATTAACTTTTCTCCTCCTGTTCCTTGGTATAATACTGTCTGGGAGGGATTGAACTACCCGAAACATTCTTTTGTGCTCTGGCTTGTCTCTCAGTCCAGATTATTAACTCAGGACAGGTTATGTAAAATGAGTATTATAAGCTCAAATCAATGTGTTCTATGTCCTGATCATCATCAAGCTGAAGAAACATGTCAGCATCTTTTCTTCGATTGCCCATATTCAGCTCAGGTTTGGAATAGTGCAATGGATTGGTTGAACTTTTCCTGGAGATCCTGTAACTGGTTGCATTTGTTGAATTGGTATAACAACAATCTTAGGGGCAAAGGTTTTAATAAGAAGCTAAATAGGATGGTGCTTGCTGTGACAGTTTACTTAGTGTGGCATGAGAGAAATTTAAGAATTTTTCAAGGAAAAGCTCGTGATCCAGCTATTCTTTTCCGAGTGATAAAGATCACTGTGTTTACTAAAATTTTGAATGATGATACACTGAAATATGTTTGTAAGTAGTTGGGGAGGTACAAAGTTGTAATTAGTTTGGTTTTCCAGTAAAATCTTGCTGGATACTATGATGTACCTACATTCTTTCAAGTGTTGATGAATAAAATTAACTTTCATTGACAAAAAAAAAATTAAACTATAATTACAAAAGATATTTGTATTATCAGACTTTAAAAAGGATAATTTATTATTATATTATAAAAGAGACATTGAAATTTAAGTTACTTTAAAATTTAAACTCTTAAATAAAGAGTGGTCGGTGGTTTAGCTTTCAACTACAAAACCTGTCACATATTTATATTATATTTAGGATAAATTTCACAAAAATCCCCAATACTTTTAAGTGTTTTCGATGAAACCCCCAAAAAAATTTCCAGCAGACCATCCAAAAAACTTTCCCACATAACCTCTAAAAAGAACAAAATGACTCTTCGACAAAATAAAAATAAAAATAAAAAATATTTTAAAATTTAATTTTGCAAAAGTAACCCTCATATATATAATTTTTAAATAAATATTTTCTCCCAAAAAAATCAGTAGACTTCTCCTTTACTCTCTCTCCCCTCCTCCTAATCCTGTTCCTATCGCAATCCACAGTCGCCTCCAATTAAATGAGTTATCTTTCTAGAAATATTAACTATTTTGAAATTAGTCCATCACATGGGTAGTAAAATTAGCAATCAAATGGATTAGCTTAAAATAACTTTTGAGAATTGTGTGATCTAATAGAAGTTTAGATAATTTGAAAGAGAAATTTCTCTCAAATTGATATTTTTACTCTTTATTAGAAGGATGAGTTTCAAAATAACTTAAGAATTAGGGGCCCTAATAACAATTTTAATTATTTGAATAACTTATTTCAAAATATCTTATGAATTGAGGGACCCAATAGTAATATCCATGATTTGAACGGCTAATTTTAAAATATGAAAAGTTAGGCGTATTTTGGGAATAAATAACAATACTATTGGGGAGAGAGGGCTTGACAATTGAATTAAATGTTTAGAGGGATAAAAAAATTTTAAGTTTTCACTTGGGAAGCAAAGCTTGATTTTCAAAAACTAAGGGGATGGAAGCAATTTTTTCAAACAAAAATGACTAAAAAGTCATGTCACATCAGTAAAACTTAACAGTAAAAATAAAAAAGACCAAATTTAATAAAGGCGTAAATATTAAGGACATGTATTGATGAGTTTCAAATGTTTAGTATCCATATGCAATAAGGCTAAATCATTAATTAGGGACTTAAATTAAATTTTGCCATTACATTCACTAGTGTGAACACTGAGCAGAGCACGGCATACTTTTTTTTCTACTACAGTAATCCCGGATTAACTGCTATAATAATTTTTTTAACTTTTTGAATTGCTACAGTATCTCGCGTCTGCTGCATTATTCCATGTGCTACAGTAATATTTTTTCAAAAACCCAGTTGTATCCAGTTTCATGTTACTATAGTAATAATGCTATAATAAATGTTATTGTATCATTACTATATATGAATAGTGAATATTGGATTCTCTCATTTGTATAGAGGAGTAGATGTGGCATTGAAATGAGCAGGAAACTCAACCTCGCGTAGGAGCATGGTTATATCTGCCTCAATTGTGCATTGTTGTTTATCTGCGCTTAACCGTGTGTCATTGTTCATCTGCGTGTCGTTACTAACCCTGCACCGCTTTAATCTCGCACCAGACTGCCTTCATGCAAAGTTAAAGGTTGTTTTGTAATCTATTTTGATTTAGGGTTCTGTAATCTTTCATCCTTAGCGAATTGGTAAGTCTCTTGACTTTGATGAGTCAATTGAACATGTCAAATAATCAAATTGCCCTTGGTGGTGTTGAGGTTATTACTATGTGAGTATAGTCTCGTATTGGATAGGATTAAGTTGGGGCTATATACCTAGTAGGTATAACTTTTGGATTAGATTTGGTTCATAGATTCTGTTTATGCCTATTAGCTCTCGGTTGGGCCGAGTTGTACCCCCACAAATGGTATCAACGCTAAGGTTATTGTTCAAGTAACAAAAAAAATAAAAATTCAATGTCCAATATGAAGCCCGAAAGTGTCAAGAGAATCCTTGGATGCCCATAAGATCGATATTGTTAGCCACCATGAGTGAAGTAGTTGAAGATCCTACAAGTGGTTGATAGCCATGTGCTGAAATCATGGCCTCGTGAGCCCACAAGTGAAGTAGTCTAAAAGTTAGTGAATCATGTGGAAGATTGTGGTACAGTTGAAGAATGAACTATACTCACAAACTAAGGGGGGGTTGTTGAGATTATTAACATGTGAGTATAGTCACGCATTAGATAGGATTAGAAAATGTAATGAACTTAAAATAAAAGTTGGGGATATATACCTAATAGCTATAACTTTTTGGCTAAATTTGGTTCCTAGCTTCCGTTTAATGTCCATTAGCTCTAGATTGGTCGTATTTCTTCCCCAACAGGTGGGGGCTCACGCTGTATTCAGTTGATCTTATCTAACTGTTTGCATTTTTGACGTTAAGGTACTCCATCAGGAGAATAACATGTGCTCTTCTTGCTTGGTCTATGACCTTCTTGTTCTTTTATTTTCTTTTTCCATTTTTCCCCGTTTGGGTTTTTGATGTTATTGTGAAATTTTTGTGAAGATTTTGGTTTTATTTTTGGGGAAGTGATTTTTTAACAGAATTAATCTTCAACCGTCACGTAACGAAAGGCACTAAATAGCATGAAATTGGTGGCCTTTTAGGGTACCATTTTTTGCAATTATTTAAGCTCCCTAGTATCAAAATAACAAATGAATGAAACTTTGTTATTAAAGTGAGATGCGCTAGCTTCCGCTGAATGCTATTTGCTAGCATTTGGTTCCGGGCGAGTTCTCGCAAGTTTAATCGCACGTAGAACCCCAGTTACTGAATGGGCGAGGAGGAGCTTTTGGCATTAATTCCTTGATTATTTGTCAAAGCTGTGTGCTATCAGCAATTTCCTCTAGCCGCGTTGACGCGCAATCATCTTCAGCATTACGTTCTCTAGGATTTCTGTTTCGCTATTTTGACATTTGAATTATCTAACCAGACCATGTTTATTTTTATTAATTCATTTATTTCCCAGAGAGAAGGAATTGCCTGCTGTCAATATCAAACCTCTGCTGACGTAGAAATAATTGGTAACTAGCTCGAGGTCACAAACTAAACCTTGTATTTCCTTCATTTCACAAACGAGATCTGTGAAAAAATATGATTTTCACAACAATTTTTGTGGCTACAGATATCAAATTCAGAGGGAAATGCCTTTAGTTTGTTCCTGCCAAATTCTTGTAAAGTGATACATGACTCGTTGTATTACTGTTTTGTATGAAATAACTTATACTTTGCAGTTAATTCATTGATGATCTCTACGGCGAACTTCACCTAGCTGGGTGTATAATGCGTTGCCGTTGGCTCTGAAAACTCGTCTCTTTGGCACCCTCAAGTCGACGCACTATTCGAGGGCGTATCGTTAATAACCTCTAAAATTTTATTGAGAAAGCAAACGGAACATACGCGCTGGAGATATAATTACGAGCGCGTACGGTCATCTTTATCAAATATGCTTCTACTTCCTTTTCCTTACGGCCTGCACCTGCAATAGCCCAGTCGCATAAAAGAAATTTATAATAAAAAAAAAAGTTAAAAACGGCCACGGACGAGATGGCGATAAGAATTTAGACCAGTTCGACAATCGCCAAACTGAATACGAAATGGTAATTCGCACCGTAGGGTTTAGACATTTCCAAATTCTCTCATCAACTTGCAGATCCAAAGCTGCTGGAGGACTCAATACTGATCTGATTGCAACTATGGGACTGCATTTGATACAAGAGCCAGAGGCCAAAGAATAGTTATCACTCTATAGTAATCAAATTTTAGGCGT